TATACGTGTATCGTAGTGTCTCAATTGTGACATCACTTACGCGACTCTGGGATTTGTAGTCTTTCTAGTTTCGTATTTTTCAAAGTCTTATATTTCAACAGTTTTAAGACAAACTGTGACTTTTTTGACATGGAAATGATTTTTTAAGATTGACAAACATCATATGTGTAATTCATGGCACAATTCAAACGGGATCGAAAGATAAGTTTTCTCTCCCCATTGACTTCAATGCATAACTTTTCCGGAATAAGGTCCCATACCCCGGAAGTAAGTGGGAGGGACTTCGCCACTCTATCGCGCATTTAGTGTGATAGAGAGAGAGAGAGGGGGAGGGAGGGACCGGTGCCAGCATGGACCGTGTTGTTAGCATCTGGTTAGCTAGCTGCACTAACGGACATAAGGAGCTGTTTGTTCCACAAGAAGCTGGAGGAGACTCCTCTCCTCTCAGACTGAGAGACTCAGGTGAGCTAAAGGACTCTCTGAGTGTTTAGATACATAACTTTAGTCTAAGTTATCTCAGTGGGTCTCAAACGGTTTGGTCACAAATTATTCAAAAGATTATTTTGATTCCGCGGCACACCTTCATATGATCATTATAGTTATAAAAAAAATAAGAGAATAAAGGAAAAACAGTTATGAAATACTATATGGCAGTAAAACAAGAATAGAGTTTAAAAGGGGAGTGATTAGTAAAATATCCATAAAGAAAAAGTACATCTATACAGTTCTGCTTCATATGGGTGTTGAGAGAGGTATCCATAGATCTCTTCATTTTGCTCTCAAAGTGCACCAGATTGATGCATTTAACTTCAATATTTAAAAAAAATCTTCCCGGGGGAGCATCCCCCCGGACCCCCCTAGAGGAGGTGAGCCCCCCACTCATAAAAAATACCACTTTACCCCTGCCTATATGCCGTGAGCTGATTATCGAGCCTTCATTGTAACAGTCGCGGGTGTACTGTGTGTGTGCGTGTGGGGAGTGTTGCAGTGAAAAATGCCACTGTAGTGCCACTGTGGGCTAAGCCCCGAATGTTTTCAGGTCCAGGCGACGCCCCTGGGCGGAGCTATCACAACGACGAGGCTCGGGTCAGTCACACAGTCACAGCCATGGTCAGGTCGAACCAGATGACTGTGGGGCTAACGGTCCGTGTCGCGACCAGTCCACTGACATGGGCGTCAATCAACGGTAAGTTTTGCCCATTACTTCCCCAGTATTACTTTGAATATTATTATTGTGATTGAGGATGAAATCCGCTATGAAGACCACCGTTTTATATCGTGCAGTTTAGCAGCAAAATAACATCAGTTAGCCAGCTAACGCTAGCTTTGTTGAATTTATGCTAGCTAAACAAGTAGTGGTTGTAGTCTATACAGCAGTAATTAATATATTATAGCCTACTGCTTTGGCACTAACGGTTGATAACCGTTTATGAAAATAAAACTAATTGAACTGTACTGAAATAATGACACGTTTTATAATTGTCTTGGGCTCCTGCTGTGTTTTTAAAGCCTTTGTAAATTATCCATGCTATTTTCTATTTAGAACGAAGACTTCAGAATCTTAAAATCCCTTAACGTTTGTATGCAATTGTGCTAAATTCAACACTGGAATCAAGCAAATATGAATATGTTTGCATGACATTAGTTATTTATATTTTGCCATCACTTAATTATACGTTTAATACATTTAAGTCAAACTAAGGTACATGTGATGGTAGCTAGTTAGTGCTCTTACCTGTGAGGCCTCCAAACATCATAATAACCAGACTGTACCATTAAAACTAGTAGTACCAGTTCTAGATCCTTGACTTTAGACAAACCCCTATGATGAGGAGCAGGGATGGATGAGGACTGATGGAGTGTTGAGACCGGTGGGTTCCTGTGGTCCTGTCCTGCCAACCTCCCTGGTTGATCTCCTGGACACGACAGAGTGTGAACAGGAAGACGAAGAGGAAGAGGAATTTGACTTTGATGATAGCATTGAAAACGATGATTGAGTATTAATCAGATAGTGGAGAGCCAAACCTTGACTGCTTATCTGGAATGGGAAAGAGTAGTCACATCAACACTTATATTATGATGTTTGACCCTTGCTGTAGGCTAGTAGAAAACAAATTGTATTGGTTAAATACACCACATCTGTCAAGACACCTTATTTGTTCACTACTGCAATATTGGCGTCTCTTAATTTGCATAGCATGCCACAGATACATGTGATCACTTTGGGAATAGTTTTATTGTGATCTTTGACCATCAAAACATGGGTCTAGACACATTATCTTTTCATTTCTCTGCAATATTGGCTGAGATATAGTGAAAAGTGTGAAAATTCCGTTTTTGGTAATGGTGGCACTAATTTGCATAAAAAATACATGTGGGACATCCAGACAACATTTTAACATAGCTCATCATTTTCTACATACTTTTTCCATTTAGGAAACACTGATTATAAGTATATATCTGTGTCGGTACAAAATACACCCTTCTTGGTACAAGACTAAAATGCAATTTTCTTGTAATGGCGGCACTAATTAGCATAATAGCATGCCACAGACACATGTGATCACTTTAAGAATAGTTTTATTATGTTCCTTGACCCTCAAAACATGGATCTGGATACCTTATTTGTTCAGTTATCTGCAATAATGGCTGAGATATAGTGAAAGGTGTAAAAAGAGTGAAACTCGATTTTTAGGGTAAATAAACACTAATTTGGGAAAAGAATATACGTGGGACAATTTGCCAACTTTTTAACATAGCTAATCGTTTTCTACACAATTTTTCCAATCTAGAAACGCTGAATAGAAGTATATTTCAGGGGGGTGCATGATACCCCCTTCTACCCACCCAACTATATGGTTTATCGATGACTTCACTTGTTACTTCATGTTAATTGTAATGTTTATGTTTGCATGGTTCATTTGTCAATGACACAGAGCTAAATAGTACCTTAAAAAATGTTGTGACACAAAACGTTTTTTTTTTATTAATTCAACCCAAAAAAATATCATGTAGTTTTTCAATAAAAACATTACTTTTAAACATATGTTAATAAAGTAACAACACAGATAAGGCTAACATCCGCCTAACTATTCTCATATAAAGTTTTATAAATTACATTTTGCGTAATTAAAATGAAAATATTATATCTCGCTATTATTTAGTACTTGTATAAGCAGTGTGTTTGAGCATGATTGTGTGTTTCTGTTCTCCTTTGTATTCTATGCTGCATAATGTTATGTTCTGTTCATGTTTAGAGTGTGCAGGTCAGGGGAATATTGCGAGTCCACCAGGTTTGTTTTATTTTTTGTTGTTTTTTTTTCACAGTTTTGTTTTGATGCTTTTCGTTGGTATATTGTTGTTTTTATTTTTGTTTTATTTATTTATATATATTTTTTTATTATTGCTGATTTTTGTTGTTTTTATTTTCTTTTTGTTTCCTTGTGTATGGAAATGGGGACATTTCTTTCAGTATGGGGGGGCGTATGTAAGCAGTGGGTTTGTGAGTCAGAGGTGGGGACTCGAGTCACATGACTTGACTCGAGTCGCATATTTTTTGACTTGAGACTTGCTTGACTAACATTGATAAAAGACTTGACTTGACTTTGACTTGGTATTCATGACTTGAGACTTGACTTAAGCTTGAGACAGATGACTTGAAAGGACTTGACTGTTTAAAATTAAATATTTGCGTTTGTTTTTGTAGTGAGATATTACGTTTAGTTTTTTCGAAAAACGTGATTGGGTGATTATAGCGGCATGCGCGCAAACCTGGCAACCGACTAGACGGCAGGAGTGTCAGGCCTAGGCTCCACGGGAACGAAAACGGGTTGAATCCGCATATTTCTCTTACGTATAGCCCTTTAAGCTAGACGACGCCGTAACGGAACGGTAGAAACGGACCCTGCAAACGACAACGGGTCCAAAGGTGGATAGATCTGGGAACAGAGCGCTCTGGGGGGTCCAACGGGGCCGTGTGGTAGCCTATACGGTCATCCGTTTCTGATAATGACGACGCAATAGCCCCGCCTCTCCCCACCTCTGCTGCTCACCCCCGCAAAAGTACACTGCACACTGAATTCAGATTATTTATCTTTATCTCGATATGGACATAAACGCGAGTGAAGTCTAATCTGACAGGACGCTGTGATGCAGCGGGAGGAAAACACACATTTCAAGTCAGATCATCACCCTTAGCTATTTTAATTACCTCTCAAACTACCTAAACTAGTTATAAATATGTTTATTTTTACTGTCGAGTCATCATTACTGGATCAGCTGCTGCATGAGACAGACACTGACACTTCCTCAGACACTGTCACCTCTGTTGTGAGTACATTTATTTGAGCATGCACAGAGTGTTATTGTGTAGAACTCGACAGTAATAAACGGAGGCGCTGTCTGTGATGCTCCAAATGTTACTTTACTTTACTATTTACTAAAGTGCAAAAGGGTATTTACCTCCTGGAAGCTCAGTTCACCGTTTGCCTGTTGGACTAATGTTTACTGCTCCAAGATATAGTGAACGGCATATTTTCCAGCAGGAAGCTCTTATCAACGGCGCTCTGCCTCCTCTGCAGCTCTTTGAAGGGAAACGATAGAGGAGAGGAGAGAGTGATATGCATATAAACGTGTTTATGATATGGGATGGGGGCAGACACAAGGAGAAAAGTGGGTTTTCCGATTGGCTGTAAGGCATTGGTACCCGGCTCTATCCGACACATTTATTTCTAATATGACCAGAAGTGGAACCTTCAAAATAAGAGCATATTTTAAATTGGAATTTCTTTAATCAGATTGTTTTAAAAAATGTAATTGTTTTACGCATACTTATCAGCATTTGTTCATATAAAATGTATGTTCATTCATAAATAAACCCTAAACCAGTAAACAGAATACGACTTTATAATGGCTGGTGTTGGCTGTGACCGGAAACTGTATGTTGCATTTTAGCTAGCTTGACTCTGGTCCAGAGAAAAAGGGAAGGATGTGATTACAGCCTCTGTTGCGTGCCTCATCGGTCCTTTACACTGTACGCTGTTATTTGTGTTCCTCCTGCTTTTTTTGTACCGTTGAAATGGAGCTCCGTGGAAACTAGCAGGCGTGCACCTCTTCGAATTCTCACCCTTGTCTTAAGAGAATGATCCACCGGCAAGTTATTTTTTCCCAGGTAGGTCGTCTCCATTGTTGCTGTCACGTTAGGTGATGTAGCCTCTCATATGGCGCTGCAGCAGCGGCCCATCGCTGTGTACACCGCGTATGTGTCATTCTCTCCCGTTTGCAGTTAACGATTCGCTTCTATTAAGAACATTGAGTGATTATGGGAGGTTAATCTGTAATGGCACCTAACATGACATAACGTCAGGATATTACGCTGTCTCTTGTTTTCATTATTCAGTACGGACTACATAACGGTCTAGCAACTAAGTGAACATGTTTTTTTAGGGGAGCTGCATCATACGACCAAACACGGTTCTACCATAAATTAGCTTAATATGCTGCCGTTACTAGCAAGCCACATAACAAAGTTGTCATTGTATTAGGTAAAAATAAAAGAAAACGGAGGTGATGAGCCATTGGATTTGTGCGGAATCAGAGAGCGGATATGAATCTGAAAATGTCTTGAGTCATTCTTCCTGTACATTTTAATATTTGTGTGCAGCAAATATAACGTAACAAAACAATAATTTTGAATGATGTTTGGTGTGATATATGGCGCTGGCGATCTGGGCCACATCTTCGCCCCACTTGCTCTTGATTTGGGATGTAGGCTACTACGAACCGTAATATAAGGAGAGACTAACCCTCCCTCTTTGTGTGGGGATTCCCACCCTCAAAATCCTCTTAAAGCACCAATCGACGGGTGCATGTTGTTCTTCCCTGTAGGGTTTCATGTGAATCAGTCTTTTTCTTTCTCTATAGAGTGGCGAAGTCCCTCCCCTTCCGGTTGAGCCCCATGGGACCTTATTTCGGAAAAGTTATGCATTGAAGTCAATGGAGAGAGAAAGATTATCTTTCGATCCCGTTTGAATTGTGCCACGAATTACACATATGATGTTTGTCAATTTAAAAGATAATTTTGCAAGTCAAAAAAAAAAAAATGTGTCGTAAAACTGTGAAGTAACACATTTGTTTGTGTGAAACGCTCAATGAACTACATCTCTTGTCAACAACACACGTCACCAAGATGGCCGTCACTACTGTCTTGTCAACACAACAACCCTCACTATCACCACAATGAAACACGTCCTGAAGAATGTCATGCAAAGCTGCCTGCCTGCCTTCCTTTGATTCTCTCTGAACTGCCTGGTCGTTTTAATGTTTAATGTCAACCATTTGTGCAGATAGCATGAAGTAGAGAAGATCGCCGATGCTAACGTTAGCGTTAGCATTTCTCCCCCGGGCTTAAATGGTGTATTATAGAATGATCACACCGGTGACAGTACTATTCAAAGGGTTCACGAAATATGACTACTACTCTTACTGTTTAACATTTTGGGTTACTTAATGTTACTTCATGTTAAGGCTAATAAAAATGACAAGGCTGTAATGCTAACTAACGTGCTAGCTACTAGCTAGGTAGCTAACTTGATCCACACACTCCTCTTTCATCAGACGGGAAGCGAAAGAACGAGCAAGACCCATTGCTGGTATAATAATAACCTGGTACTAAGCACACAGGCATCTTGTGAAAGTTATCTTATCTTAGCCAGCGCCATATAGATAGATTCTATCTATATGGCGCTGATCGTATATATACGGTATTATACGTATATCGTAGTGTCTCAATTGTGACATCACTTACGCGACTCTGGGATTTGTAGTCTTTCTAGTTGTGTATTTTTCATAGTGTTATATTTCAACAGTTTTACGACAAACTGTGACTTTTTTGACATGGAAATGATTTTTTAAGATTGACAAACATCATATGTGTAATTCATGGCACAATTCAAACGGGATCGAAAGATAAGTTTTCTCTCCCCATTGACTTCAATGCATAATTTCTCCGAAATAAGGTCCCATTACCCGGAAGTAAGTGGGCGTGACTTCGCCACTCTATTGGATAGAAAGAAATAGACTGGATAATGTTTATTATCAATAGCTTAGGTATTGGAGGAGAGGTATTTTGAGAGATAAATCGTATCAATAACTTCATTTATTTAACATCAAAAGGGTAATGCACGTTCTCATTATCCAGTTTTATTGTATTCATCTCAATTGTGTATTGATGGTTCGTGTATGTTCCATGACTCATAACATTCCCTTAACCCGCTAAGACGTCCCCTTGCGAAATATTTTATCGACTTCTGTCTTATTCTTTCATATCATATAATAGACTAACCAGCCATTTACTAAAACAACTAACAATTTGACCTACTATGCCCTTATCTAACCATTTGAACCCCATCTAATTGTTGGCCAGTCTGAGGTGTATTTTCTTGATTTCTACCAAGATATGATCCAATTATCTCAGCAAAATCAGTCCAAGTTAGGGACCACAATAAGCAGCAATAAAGTACTAGCAATAACATATTCTAATAATTGCTCTATAGTCCGTATCTTGTTCATGAAACACATTAGCACATAAAGTGCATATCAGCTTTCACTTGAAGTGGAAAGTACAGCAAACACAAAGTCAAGGGTCTATTTTGAGAGCAATGACTATCATAGCTATGGTTACCCATTCATAGTTGAACAATTAGCTGAAGGTAATCAAGGATATCTTTACTTATCATTTTGTACTGAATCATTTCATTTCAATGATCAGACTTTTGCTCTCGCTGCAGCTTTCTCGTTTGTGCTCCCTCATTTTTTGTTTTTGATTTTGACACAAACATCCCAGGTGGGTGGGACTTTCAGGGGTGTGTCCCCATTGGCTACTCAGTTTTTGAGTGACAGCCCACCACACCACAGATCATACAGTGCATGCAGTGACATGTTACATTTGAAAAGCATCCTATGTTTAGGACAAACAATTAAAGACTGCTTTCATTTAACAAATTCTACAATATAAAAGTGGCAGATTTGCTTTATTAAACAGACCAGACCTAGATTGCATACCAACACAATTAGGAACATGCTCACATCTTACTGTTGGTCTGAAGAGCTGAAGCATTCATACACAATGGATACAAACGGTGTTGTCTCATTCTATATCCTGTGAGAAAATGATATACATTTAGCATAAAAAACTCGACATACTATTCCTAGCCTGAGGAAGATATGAATAATCAACAGATTTGAATGGAATCTCTAACATTTTCATGTAGAATAAAGACAAAAGAGTGATTATACAAATTACATTTATTGAAATTTGAACCAGAAGATGAAGTCTCAAAGAATGTTTTAAATAAACGGACATAAAACAAAAAGGTGGATAATAATAACATCTATTAAATGTATTATGTAAAGACATTTGGTCAACTGAAATGACACTGAGCCAGTGATAACAGCAACGCCCAGCGTGGATGAAGATGGTGCAGGTCTTTCTTCATGCCCCCCCTCCGTGCTGTCCCCTCAGAGGAAGTGGGAAAACGGGATAAGACTCTGGACGCCACGCTGTCTCAATGATCCACACTGTTAATATGAGAGGAAAATAAATGTTTTAGGAAATTAAAAATATGAAGTTAACAAATAAAACACAGCTCAGGGGCAGTCATGGACGGTAGGTTTTCCTACAAAGTTAACTCAGCCTCCATTGATTTTCATATCAAATTAGCGTGTTAATAAAATAAGCTATCATGGCTTATACTTGCATATCTAAACAGAATCATGAAAGCCTGTTGGTAGAGTCAGGCACACGAGTCCGTTTGAGTGTGTGCGCCGGTGTCTGAACGCTCACTCACTGCTCGCTTTGTAGCTAACTGTCCCTGCTATTAGGCTACTAGCTTGCATTGTTATGGATTAGGGCTGCTCGATTATGGCAAAAATCATAATCTCGATTATTTGGGTCAATAATTGTAATTGCGATTATTAAATGCGATTATTCATTGACTTCCATTTATTGTACTTTAAAACAAATACAAATAATAATTTGAACTTTTTAACTGTTGAATTATACGTTCAGGGTAATCAACTGAAAAACCAATACAAAATAAAATAAAATAAATTACACATTCATATCTACAATTAAATAAATAATATCAAAATAATAAATACCAATAAACAAGATCAACAAACATGTTGCAGTGCACTGTCACAACCTGAAAACTCCTTACCATATAGCCAACATTTTGGTAAAACATATTCAACATATTCCACTCAGTTAAACATTAAAGGCTGGCCCACCGTCATGATCCAGAAGTAACAGGAAATAAATGTTGAACTAGGGCTGCTCGATTATGGCAAATTGGAGAAAAGAAATTTGAACAGTATGTTTTTAACAGTTGATTACCCTGAACTTTAAGTATAATTCAACTGAAAAAACAAAAAAACAAAACATTATTTGAAATAATATAATTATTTCGATTACGTTGTTTTCGTAATCGTTGCAAGCCATAATCGTAATCGCGATTAAAATACGATTAATTGAGCAGCCCTATTATGGATCTAAAGTTAGCAAAAGCTAACTTTCATAGCACAGCTTTTCTTTACTTCTCACTTAACACAATAAAGAAACAGACCGTATAGTACAGCACAAACAACACAAATGATCAATACTTACATATATTTTCACTTGTAGTATTATAATAATTGAAATGCTGGTTCTTCTGGGGGTGTTCTATCCACGCTCAGCTACCGCACCGCAGCTGCCTGCACTGTACAATCGCTGGAGGACTGGGCTGTAACTCAAAAACTGAGTAGCCAATGGGGACGCACCCCTGAAAGTCCCGCCCACCTGGGACGTTTGTGTCAGAAACTCAAACAAAAAGTGAAGGAGCGCAAATGAGAGTGCTGCAGCGAGAGCAAAAGTCTGATCATTGAGAAAGAAGAAACAAGAACTGCAAACAAAAACCTCTGTTAAAACAAAGAAAAAATACTTATAGTTTACATGATTACACAAATGATTTGTTTGCAACTTATAGTTTATTTTTGAAATTTATTTTATTTTGCTTGACTCAGTTTTTTTTTCTTTTAAACTCATAGTTTTGCTTTATTCTGAGAAAGTGTTGCTTTATCTTTATGATACAAAACTAATCCCATACGATCCAGTCTAACTTGTTCTGCCTGCTCTACATGAATGTTGTATTAGAAATCAAGGAGGATTGAATGCAATTATACTAGTGAATCATGCAAGTGTCAGAACAAGTAAAGGCAGCTACACACCCACCTGAGACCAAAAAATGCGTACCGAAGGCGTCCCGACTTTTACGTCAGCTTCGTCGCCTGCGTCGGCTACGCCGCCCGCTACGCCGCCCGCCTACGAACACACCGCAAATACTTCAGTCGACGAGTGGCAATAACTGTCCTTACCAGCAGGCAGCGGTAGTGTGAACAGCCAATCAGAGTGATTGCTTGGGCCGACTTTCTCTGACCTCCCGCGGTTGAATCGGTCGCGGGAGGCATCGGGAGGTGTGAAAAGGTGCCGTAAAGACACAACGGTGCGGGACACACTAACCTGAGTAGGGCGCCGCGAATGCCCGACTGCCTCTGACGGCCTCTGACTCCCAAAATCGGGTTGGTGTGTAGCCAGCTTAAGAACGACAACTGGGGATATTTCCCACGGGATTCAAACATGTTGGGAAAATGGACGTTTTGTCTGTTCTAATGCTTTTACTGTATTTGTATCGCATTGTGCACACTGTTTTGTCTATACATCCGAGTCCCCAACTCCATTGTTAGTTATATCCAGGCACGAGCTTCAACACGTGTATTTCTGTTTATTCAAGGCATTCATTTTGTTATTCTACAGTATTGTTGTTTTATAGTTATTTGTTAATGTATATAACACAATTTGTGTTCTTTGAAATTGAAAAGGATATTGCATTGTGTTTGTTACTTTCGTTGCAGTTGTATATATGTCTTAAGTGTAATTTGGCTTTGCTTCCTATTTTGTATGGACATGCTTTTATTTTGAAGGAGAGTTAGCGCTGTTGACAGGAAGTTGTTTTTGCTATGGAAACAACGTGATGGAGAAAAGGAGCGGAGATTAACGGAGAAAACTAATATCTACATATAAAGACAGAGAAAGTAAACGAAAAAGTTTATGGTTAAGTGTTAGCACCCCCCGAAGAGGCACAAGCTCTTATGTTGATATTGGAGATTTCAATAAATTCAATTTGGCAGCTGCAGTGCAGCGCGGCTGCCAAAAAAGACCAAAAACGAATAGTCGAATAACAAAATTGAAAACCGAATAGTACTCCATCGACCGAATATTCGGATATTCGGGTACAGCCCTAGTTCAGAAACGGGATTAAAGTTATAGATGAACAAAACACAGACTGTCTGTGTCATGGTGAATACAGTCGCTGTTGTCTGTGTCTGTATCATGTTGTTGTGAGTGTGGACGGAGCAGATACAACGTTAGCTTATCCTGATCGATCCAATCACCATTCAGAAAAACACGCATTTTAAAAGGTTTTTCGCCTGCCGTCTTGTCTGCACACTTGTCAAAGCATTAATTCATGGTTTTTACTAACCGTTATTACTTCGGGATCATTTTGAAACGTGTATTACAATTAAATGACGGTAAAATATGTTAATTTTGTTGTAGACAGTATTTTACATGGATATAAGCCCCGCCCCCTGGCCAGCGCGTCTTGTTTGAACGCAGCATAATGCAGTTCAGAGACCAGACCACTGCTCTGACGCTTTTAAAGCAACTTCAAGATTTGAACAGTATCAGGGCCTCAAAGGCCATGGTGGCCGTAGGACGTACAATTATTTTCGGGGCATCATGGCCGTCGTGAAATTCCTACCCTGGTTATAGCTAACTCTGAGTTTTTAAATAGTTAACTTTAGTCTAAGTTATCTCAGTGGATCTCAAACGGTTTGGTCACGAATTATGTAAAAGATTATTTCCGAGGCACACCTTCATATGATCATTATAGTTATAAAAAAAATAAGAGAATAAATGAAAAACAGGTATGAAATACTATATGACAGTAAAACAAGAATACAGTTTAAAAGGGGAGTGATTAGTAAAATATCCATAAAGAAAAAGTACATCTGTTTACAGTTCTGTTTCATATAGGTGTTGAGCGATGTATCCATAGATTTCTTTTTTGTTAGGTCCACCACCCACTTATAAAAAATAGCACTTTTATTATTATCGATTATTTAGTAAATCATCCAGGGTTATGGTTCTCTGATAAACAACCAGCATAGTATTGATTCTACTTTGAATTCAGCCCACAAACAACCATATTGCATCATAGCCTTCCTACCAGAGGTGAGCCACATTCACTGGACCATTATGAAGGAAATTATATGACATCATATTCCTGCTAATATAATTTCATTCTTTGATGACTTGTCCCTCAACTGCATCAATGCGAACCATGTGACATAACCCTGATGCAGTTTTCTTTCCTGCACCAAACTGCCAGACCTAATGCTGCGTTGACACCGGACGCGATGCGAATATTCCCAACGCTGATTGGCTTTCGCGAGAACGGGTCATGTGAATTTGACGCTCGAGTTGAAAAAATTGAACTCTCACGTTTGACGCGGCCCCCTTCAATCGCCTCAATCGCGTGATTCGCGCCGCGTCCACCGCTTCATGCTTCATGCATCGCGTCCGGTGTGAACGCAGCATAAGTCCCACTTTCTACATTCACAGCCTCTGCTTTTTTTTCTATGGTTTGTAACACCCCACCCTTCTCCTCCCGCTTCCCTCAGGTTTTGGTCTACTTTGGGTTGACTGTTCAATATGCTGATGCAGCTCTGTAGTATCAAGGTCAGTGCCCCCACAACCATAATCACCCATCACCCTCTCCATTTGCCTGCACCACCCAGTTTCTCTTGGAGGATTTTTAAGGCAGGGTATTTCAGTATATTCTGTCATGCATTGTATTGAAATATCATTGTGTAAATTCCAAGATAAAATCTAAGTGCATTGCATATTTATTATTGTATTTTTTCAAAACATATATATTGGTACAAACATTGCCTATCAGTAATGATGCTGGCTTTTTCTCAAATGTTCCTCTTGCACGGTAAGACAAGCAGGCCCATGAATTATATGCTGGGCAGTCATATACCTCTCTTCATTATCAACTGCACCTACAAATTGCCTCAGCATTTATCACAATCTGTCAAGGCTGACTGAGTTGTGCCCTGAAGCTCCTTTCCAACTAGAGCATTTTCTGATCAGATGAAAAAGTCACATTTGGACTTGCTGGTAACAATGCTGCATTTTGAAGAGATCACAGTATCCATGCTGAATAGATATAAAACCTTAGTTGTTCATCAGAATCAGAACCATAATTGTTCATTTATCCCAGGGGGTACAGTGTTTCCCCTAGGATGGAGTCATAGCAGCGGTGCTAAGGCACGTGGGCCCAGCATAATGTGAGCGCGGAGCGCGTGGAATTTTTTAGTGTGTGCGCGTGCGAAGTGCGCCCCGCCAATTTGTTTCTATGTGTCTGCCAGCACAAGAAAGGCTCTTGAGGCCTAGTACCAGGGCCGGTTCTAGCCAATTTGCTGCCCTAGGCGAGATTTTATATATAAAGAATAAATGAAAAATCTCTACAAAAGACAAATACACTACAAAAACAGAAACTTATTGACATTTTATTTTTTATTTAACCTTTATTTAACCAGATAAAAACATTGAGATAAAATCTCATTTTCAATGCTGACCTGGCCAAGAAGGCAGCAACGTTACACATAACACATAACACAAACATATAAAATACAGAGAACATAACAAAGAAAACAAAAGACGAAAAAGCAGTCACTACATTGTGCACATTAGGACAATAAAAAAAGTACACTACTTGTTACTGCAAGAGCAGCTGGTGGTGAGGACTTCAGACAACTTCAATTTAAAACATGATATAGAGACAAGTGCCCTCAGTTTAAGGCGTGATTGAAGGTCATTCCAAGACCAAGGACCATAATAAGAAAGACTCCTTTTTCCAGCCTCAGTCCGTACAGTAGGTACCTGGAACCGTATCCAGGCACTGGATCTGAGGTTGTAAGAGTCACAAACTGGGGCAAATCTGACACATATGTAGAGTGGAAGCTTACCTAAAATGGCTTTATACATTAATAAAAACCAGTGCTGCATCCTACGCATAGTAAGTGAGGACCATCCAGTTAGGCTATACAGTGTGCAATGATGAGTCCTATAGGGTGCATTTGATATATAACGCAGTGCAGCATGGTAAAGTGGGTCAAGTTTGGCCAAAACAGTGGGGCAGGCAAATCTATAAATAATCACCGTAGTCCAGCTGGGACAGGAATAAGCCAGAGACCAACCTTTTACGGGATGAAATTGAAAAACAACATTTAAATCTGAAAAGGAAGCCAAGAGTGAATTTCAATTTCTTCAATATGGTGTTTAAAGTTCAGATTACTGTCCAACCAAAAGCCCAGATATTTGTAGGTATCAACAAACTCAACAGAAACGCCATCAAGGGTGTCAATGGAGAGGCAAGAGGAGGACGCTGACTTGGGAGCAAAAAGCATTGCTTTGGTTTTCTTACTGTTCAATAGCAGTTTAGAATCAAGAAGCGCATGCTGCAGCGTGATAAAATCTGATTTTAAATTGGAAACGGCCATATCCAGAGAAGGAGCACACGAGTATACAATAGTGTCATCAGCATACATATGATAGGTAGAAAATTGCATCTGATTACAAATATTGTTTACATATAATGAAAAGAGCAAGGGCCCCAAGATAGAGCCCTGTGGAACTCCCTTCTCCAAGGTGACAGGGTCAGAGACAGTACTACCCAACCTGACGCATTGAGTACGGTCGGTTAGATAACTCTGAAACCAGCAAATGGCATTGTGACCGAAACGAGACACCAACATAACATTAGACATAATGTGGTGATCTACAGTGTCAAATGCTTTGGCTAGGTCAATAAACAATGCAACACAAACTGATTTCTTATCCAAAGCAGCCTTAATATCGTCTAAGACTTTCAGACTGGCAGTCACAGTACTGTGCTTTGATCTGAATCCAGATTGCATAGGGTTAAGGATGTTGTGTGAATTTAAAAAAAGTTTTAGCTGAGTAGAAACAAGGGACTCAAGAATCTTTGATAACACAGAAAGATTTGAGATAGGACGATAGTTATTCAACTCCGTGGGAACACCAGCTTTCAAGAGGGGCGATACCAGAGCTTGCTTCCACACAGCTGGCAGTGTGTGAGTGGACAGGGAGAGATTAAAAATATCAGTTACTGGTTGTGCTATCATCTGAGCTGCAATCTTTAAAAAGAACGGGTCAAGGCCGTCAGGCCCGGCAGACTTTTTAGGATCAATCGAGTGCAAACCCTGTAAGACTTCAGAGACCGAGAAATAAGCTAAATCAAAAACAGGGGAGTTCAACTCTTGACTATGGCTGTGAGTACGACCATTTAGAGAGTCATGACTTTGCTCTTCAAAAATGTGACCAGCCTTTTTGAAGTGAGCATTAAAGGCATTAGACATACCATCTGAATCTGAAATAAAAGAATCACTGACCTTCAGTTTTTGTGGGAAACTAGAAACCTTCTTGTTCTGAAGTGATTTAATTGTTTTCCAGAATTTGGAATGGTCATTAAAACAATCAGTGGTTAAGCTCAGATAGTAATCAGCTTTAGCTTTTTTAATAAGGGCAGAACATTTATTTCTGAGGACACGAAAAAGAAGCCAGTCATCACTAGTGTTAGACTTTCTAGCTAAGGACCATTGCTTATTTCGATCATGAATGAGATCAGATAGTTCTCTAGTAAACCATGGAGTGTTCCTATTCTTAACTCTGAATTTTTTTTTTTTTTTTTTTTTTTTTAACAAGTCTTTTTATTTCATTATAGTGTACAATAATCGATGCCATTTCATTTATATTGTAATATCACAGTACACTCACTACACTCCCCCCTCCCTCCCTCCACCCACACATACCCGCACAGGCAAAACCAAAAAAAGCTTATCAATATAACTTAAACAACAGAGCCATGAAAATAAACATAAAAAGGAAAAGGAAAAAATAGAACCAAAAAATAAAAAATAAAATAAAAACCAGACAAGTAAAACAAACAAATAATTATACAATACAAATAATTATACAATACAGTGACAATGTAGACAATGACAACACCATAGCACGTATTTCCGGCCGTCAGGACAAATAGCCACAGAATGCACCATTCCATCACTGGTCATATCTCAGATATGTTTTCCAAATACGAAAACAATGGCAACCACAGAGCTTGAAAAATATGTCCACGATTATATTTTTCCAATGTCATTTTCTCCAGAGGTAAAAAATGTGTTATCTGATCAATGAAAAGTTTAAATGTTGGGGGACGTTCATTCTTCCAGAATAAAAGTATACATTTCTTGGCAAAATATGTTATTGTGATTAGTATTCTGTAATGTTTTGGGTTCAGTTTAAAGTTTGGCATGTCATTTAACAGGAAAAAACATGGATTTAGGCTAATTTCGATGTCTAAAACGGCTTTTGTGAGAGCATGAATCGAATCCCAGAAATGTTTCAAGACATCACAATCCCAAAACAGATGCATAAATGTTCCTTCTTTTATTTTACATCTCGGACATTTTGGAGAGTTTTCTTTGGAAATGTTATGCATCTTTATGGGTGTGAGGTAGAATTTGTTGATAAATTTAAAGTTTGCTTCTTTGATTTTATTGCTTGTGAATGGAAAATGTGTTCTTTCACAAATGTTCAGCCAAGTAGTTTCATCTATCTGTATCCCTAAATCCTTTTCCCAGATCTTTTTTAAGGTTAGAAATGATGACTGAGCTCTTTTAGAAAAAACTGCATTAAATTCACTAATTTTACCTTTGATCGTGCTCGATGACATCAATATCTCCTCCTCTTCTAACAATCCCGGTCTCAATTTATTGCTTTTAATAATTGATTGGATCACGTTCCTAATTTGCAGGTATCTGAAAAAATCCTTATTTGAAATGTCATATTCTGCTCTTAAATCATTAAATGATTTCATTGTTATATCTTTGTGAAACAAATGTTTCAATTGCTTTATACCTGATTTCGTCCATTTGTTTATATCGATTGACAACAAATATTTGCTAAGATCCGGATTGTTCAAAATAGGAGAAAAGATGGAAATACCAGAGTTAACATGAGCTTTTTTTGTACAGTCCCTCCAGGCTAAAAGTGTATTGACCACTGTAAAACATTTGTCCATATTCTTCACCTTATTGAAATCTTTAACAAATATAAGAGTTTCCACTGGCAACGGGTCAAAGACATTGGCTTCTATCTGAACCCATAGTGAATCCTTTCTTCCCAGAGACCATGATAGTACATTTCTTAATTGAGCTAACCAGAAGTAGTGTTGAAAGTTAGGAAGACCAAGTCCCCCCATAGTTTCTGGTTTCATAAGAGTAATTAACTTGATTCTTGGTTTTTTATTACACCAGATAAATGTTGAGATATGTCTATTGAGAGATTTAAAATAGTCAGCGGATAAATAGCATGGTAACATTTGAAAAAGAAAATTACATCTCGGTAGAATATTCATTTTTATGACATTGATTCTTCCTAGCAGTGATATTGGCAATGTGGACCATTTAGATAAATCCTGTTTGATTTTGTCAATGAGCGGATTGTAATTCTCTTTAAACAGATTATCCAGGTGTGGTGTTATATTTATTCCTAAGTATTTAAAGCCACCTGGTGACAAATTAAAAGAACAAGACTTTTCCAGATTTGCTGTTGGCGTCATATGTAAGAAACAAGCATTAGATTTCTTA